TTCAGACCCCAAAACATCCTCAAACGTGGGATCCTCCCGGTGAGGAGACACTTTCTGAGCTCCTGAGGTGAATTTTGCCTTGGAAGGAAAGGAAGAGGGGAAAAAAAAGGGAAATAGAAGGGAGAATATTTTGGAAAGGAAAAGGAAGAGCAGTAAGGAAAGAGAAAAGGGAAGAGAGGAAGGAAAGACAGGGACGAAGGCAGGAAGGAAAGAAAGGAAGGAAAATAAAGGAGGAAAGGGAGGAAAGAAGGGAAGGGAAGGGAAGGGAAGGGAAGGGAAGGGAAGGGAAGGGAAGGGAAGGGAAGGGAAGGAATTTTGCCATGGCACAGCTGAGCACAGATCCTGTGGGAAAACAGCCAAGAATGGTGAGATCAGACCGTCCCTGCAGTGAGAGCTCGGGGCTCAGGAGGTCACTCTGACTTTGCAGTGGACATTTCCAAAGGGAAACTGCCCACAGGGGCTTTGGGAATGCCCTGGACACAAACCCTGCCCTTTTGGGAATCCTGGACACAAACCCTGCTCCTTTTGGGATTGATGACACAAACCCTGCTCCTTTAGGAACTCCCTGGACACAAACCCTGCTCCTTTTGGGATTGACGACACAACCCTGCTCCTTTTGGGAACGATGACACAAACCCTCTCCCTTTTGGGAATGCCTTGGACACAAACCCTGCCCCTTCTGGGAATCCTGGACACAAACCCTGCTCCTTTAGGGACTGACGACACAAACCCTGCTCCTTTAGGAATGCTCTGGACACAAACCCTGCTCCTTTTGGGAATCCTGGACACAAACCCTGCCCCTTTAGGGAATGATGCCACAAACCCTGCACCTTTAGGGAATGATGCCACAAACCCTGCACCTTTAGGGATTGATGACACAAACTCTGCTCCTTTTGGGAATGATGCCACAAACCCTGCTCCTTTAGGGAATCCTGGACACAAACCCTGCTCCTTTAGGGAATGATGACACAAAACCTGCTCCTTTAGGGAATGATGACACAAACCCTACAGCCTTTGGGAATGCCCTGGACACAAACCCTGCCCTTTTGGGATTGACATGGACACAAACCCTGCACCTTTAGGGATTGATGACACAAACCCTGCACCTTTAGGGAATGCCTTGGACACAAATCCTGTCCCTGGGCAGCCCCCAAATGCCGGGGGAGCCTCCCCTCCCAATCACCAGCTGAGCTAACACAGAGCAGGGGGCAATGATCCTTTTCCTCCTCAGCCCTTCCTTTCTGCTGCTCAGAGCTCTCTGGGAATGCATTCTCGGGAATATTTTGGGATGTGRTGCCTCCTTTGCTCCTGTTCCCTCTTCCCTCCCGGTTTTTAACCCGGTTACCCCAGCTGGGTCCTGGGCAGTTTTGGGGCCAYCAGGCAGATGGTAGCCCAGAAAAGCCACATGGCATTTGCCTTCCCAAGCYATCCTGTTTCCCAGTTTAGAGCTCAAAGAAATCCGATCAGTCCAATCCAATTCGAGCTGGGCMCTAAGTCTGGAAAACGGATTATGCMAAAMTCCTGACATCATGAGCTTGATGGGAGTGCTGAATGGAGCTTGGGAGCAGATCAGAGTTTATACCCAGGGGCTCAAAAATAGCGCCCAGGCTAAAGCACCTCTCCATTTCTCCACTAAAGATTACACAATTGATAAGAGGAACGATTTTCCATTGGGTTATGCCAGCGCTGACACAAACACATCCCCTGTGCTTCCATCCCATAGCACCTGAGACCATCCAGAGCTGATTCCTGAATTCCCCTGGGCTCCTCTCCAGGGRCAGCAAAGCTCACTTTGAGCACTATTTCAAATTCCATTGAGAAATACTGGTTTTTTAATCACACTCTGATGCTTTTTGCTGTCATCACATGAAAGTTAAACAGCAGAGCTCCTTTCCTACTCAGCCTCTGCAACAGCATCGTCATCTCTGCCTTATCTCTGTCTCAGCCAGCTCCTCCCCCAAATTCAATAGTTCAGACTCTACAGTTTCACTCAGACACTCAGGTGCTTACACACCTGAAAATGAAAAAAACACTAATGAAAAAACAAACACCGTAAAACAAAGGTTTTTTAATAAATATTTCTTTATTCAATTCGTGTTTTTTACAAAATTTCTACCAACGACTGTACAGGTGCTCACCAGGGCAGGGCTGCAGGGCCTGGGCTGCCCAGGGGAGCAGAATGGGGAGAATTTAAAGCATTTCAGTAAAGCAGCAAAACACAATTCTAAGAATTAAACAGCCTCTCTAAACTGTGCAAGGAGCAGAGTGTGATACCTYGGTTGAGATGCTGAACTGTAAGGAATCATTAGAGATTTGTATCTTCCAAAAAAAAMCAGTTTATCACAAGTGGAAAATTGATAAAAGTGAATATTTTCATCCAGGCTCTCAAGTCAGAAGTCAGATTTGCCTTTCAGATCTTGGGCTGATAAACTCTTGACTCGAGAGAGCTCAGAGCAGCACAAAGCACGAGTCTAATCAGCTCTGATAAGTCTGGGCTGTATTTACACAGAACTCGTAGAAAAGCTATTTGGAGATGGAAATGTGCATGATGTGAACTCTAGCACTGATTGTGTCCTAYCCTGAACACTCCCTGGTGGAATTTAAACACTGACAAGAACCACAAACCAGCAGAYTAATCAGCTAATGGCAGCTACTACAGTCCTAATTAAAGGCCACAAAAAAGGGATTGTAAATCTTTTYGTTGGTATGACCCGACCCACTGATCCCATGGGAAAAAACTAAAACAAAACAGACAAACTCACGTTATTTGCCTGGGGAAATTATCCTTGTAAATGAACAAAAAAAAACATCCAGTAAAGGTGAACCAGAATATTGGGTCAACCCAAATGTTTTTTCCACACAAACCTATGTAGAAATCTGGGTTAGGAGAGCAGAGCTCAGCCTGCAAGCTGGGTCAATTTTGTATCTGTGGTCTGGGGCTAAATGAAGTCCAGTGTAAAACCACTGTCCTGGARTTTTTGTCACTTTTTCTGTTCTCTYGAGGCCGTTTGGACAGGGCTTGGAGCAGCCTGAGGGGCATCCCTGCYCAGGRSAGGRGGTGGAGGAGCTTTAAGGTTCYTTCCAACCCAAACCATCCATCATTTCAGATTCTCTGGTCCTCTCCTTGCAGAGACACTGCCAAACAAAACTCTGCTCTTCCCTCATCTCTGCTGCCACACCAAACTTTTCCCAAGGCAGAGAAAATCCTGGAGCTCCTTGAGCTCATCCACTCCTCCCAGAGCAGGACAAGCTATTCCAGAGTGATGATTCCATAAGAATCAGGGCTCAAAGGAGTCAAATCACAGCTGTGCCATTCAGTCCTCACTGTGGGGCTGTGAATGTTGGGTTTGGAGCATCCATCAGGGCTCTGGGCAGGCAGAGGGAGCAGAGCCCGTCCCCAGCAGGGACAGGAAGGGGTTTCTGCTCCTCCTGCCCGGCTCTCACTGCTCCCCTCAGCTGTCCTGGCCTTTGCTCTGACCCAATTCTCATTTCTGGGGGATGTGTCGGTCCTCAGGGAGCTGACAGGAGCAGCAGCAAAGGCTCCAAAGCACACAGGGAGTCCCAGAGAGCAGCTCTGTGTGCTGGAACCCTGCAGGATGAGCACTGGGACAGCACCACTGGCTGCATNTTCCAACCCAAACCATCCATCATTTCAGATTCTCTGGTCCTCTCCTTGCAGAGACACTGCCAAACAAAACTCTGCTCTTCCCTCATCTCTGCTGCCACACCAAACTTTTCCCAAGGCAGAGAAAATCCTGGAGCTCCTTGAGCTCATCCACTCCTCCCAGAGCAGGACAAGCTATTCCAGAGTGATGATTCCATAAGAATCAGGGCTCAAAGGAGTCAAATCACAGCTGTGCCATTCAGTCCTCACTGTGGGGCTGTGAATGTTGGGTTTGGAGCATCCATCAGGGCTCTGGGCAGGCAGAGGGAGCAGAGCCCGTCCCCAGCAGGGACAGGAAGGGGTTTCTGCTCCTCCTGCCCGGCTCTCACTGCTCCCCTCAGCTGTCCTGGCCTTTGCTCTGACCCAATTCTCATTTCTGGGGGATGTGTCGGTCCTCAGGGAGCTGACAGGAGCAGCAGCAAAGGCTCCAAAGCACACAGGGAGTCCCAGAGAGCAGCTCTGTGTGCTGGAACCCTGCAGGATGAGCACTGGGACAGCACCACTGGCTGCATCCCCCACTCCCTGATCCCCCATCATCCCCAAACCCTGCTCAGGATCTGCTGCAGGAAGCCCCAGCATTTACTCCTTGGGGTGTAACCACAAACCAGAGCTGGCAATCACCGTTTTGTGTACACAGAAAGACTTATTCATGGGCCAAAAATAGTCCCTGGGTACCAGCAGTGCTCAGCACGTGGATTTTACCTCGCTCTTGAGTYTCCACCTGGATGCTGAGGCTGAATTAAGAAGGAAAAGTCACTACCAGGCTATTGGAAGGGTCACACTGCAGTCAGCATCACCTTTTCCACGGTTTCCAAGCCAGATTTTCTCAGAACAAAGCGCTCTTCCTCCTCTGCTCAACGATCCATCCCCCGGGGTTCACATCCATTTGCAACATCTTCATCACCCACTTGTCCTTCCTGGCCCCATCGATGAACTCATCCAGAGACAGCTGCCCTGAGGTGAGAGAGGGGCGAGAGGGGCACTCAGAGCAGCAGAGATTGGAGATGAGGAGGCAGGNCAGACCCAAACCCAGAGCCAGGATCTGCGGGCAGCCCCGACCAAAGGCAGTGCCCAGCTCAGGGAGCTGCCCCAGGGGATGCCCTCGGTGCCACCCATCACTCACCATCCCCGTTCTCATCCACCAGCTGGAATATCCTGTCCACCACCTCCTCKGGGGTCAGCAGCGGGGTTCTCTCCTCCACGTCGGACCAGCACACCTTCTTCAGTTTATAGATGGACTGCAGAGGAGGTGAGATCAGGGACAGGATGGGCACAGGAGAGCAGTGAATTCTGCTCATCCCAGCCCTGTCAGAGGCTCTGGGTTCACCTTTCTGCCCATCCCTGCCCCTGTGCCTGCTCTCTGCACATCACTGTTCTCATTTCTGGGGAATCTGCTGCCCTCCTGCTTTCCTTGCACACCTTGCTCAGGCCTCGGGGCTCCCCTGCACACACAAAGCCAGGCTTTCACCCCTGGGAAGGATCTAAAGCCCTGCCTGTGGTTTTTGTTCACAACCAAAGCCGGGCACACTGGCCTGGCCCAGTTGGGGCTGCACATCAAGGATGCTTTAGCTCATTTTCTGTTTGATCAACACTGATTTTGCCATGGGAAAAGGGAAGATTTTATCTCCACCTGCCCATTGTTACCTTTGCTGCTCAGCCTGAAAGGCTCTGCCAAAGTCTTCCCCGAGAGAGGATTAGCAGTGTCCTGACAGTTCTGGTCACTCCTTGGTGACCTCAAAACCATAATGGGAACTGCCCCAGACAGGCTGCCCTGTCCCACACCCACTGCTGCAGGTGACCAGCTGCTCACCTGGCCCTGCTGT